TATTTTTCCAAATATAACATATGAAAGGAGGACTCTATACATCTTCCGTCCTTATCATAAATGCATGAAAGGAGTGATACCCCATAAACAAATCTACAGACCGTAGTGTATTCAAAAGAACAGCACTAAAAACCCGAGAGATTAACACAGGTGTCTACATTAAACGAGGAGGAATACATTTCTAATGACACAACATGTATATGCAGTTAAAGACAATCTTAATGGATTTATTTCACTTACTCTGGATGACAATGACCAGACAGCAGTCAGGAATTTTGCCTTCGCAATTCTCAATCCGACTCCATTATGGGATTTAAGCCCGATGACTTTGATTTGTACCACATGGGAACGTTTGATTTAGAGACAGGATGTTTTACACAAGATAAAATGCCCTCCCTCGTAGTCAGAGGTTCTAACATTGCCAGTGCTTATGCAAGAAAGGACAACGATGAGTAAAAAGTATAATAAGAAACAAAAAATTTTGTGTTAACTGTTATTGGTACGACCCCGTTATCGTGATGGTTGGTGCAATTATAACTCTATAGAGTGTGAAAAAACCGACTATTGTGATTGTTACGATTTTAAGATATGAAAGGGAGTGATTCAATACGTAATTGTAAAGAATGTAAGTATTACATAGCCGATAAATATTATTGCAAGATGCATAATAAAGAAGACATAAAGCCCGATATGCAAGCTTGTGGTGAATTTGTAGCTATTAAACCCGAATGGAAACCTAGACAGTCACGTGCAGGTAATCCTTGGAAATTCGTTATTCATATGCAATTACTGATAAAGGTATAGAGGTAGTAGCCGCAGGTAAGATTAATCTACAGGACTATATACAGAGCTTCGCAGATAGTGTAAATATAAACTCCATTATAGCCGTTATAAAGCCGGTGATCTTAATGCTTTAGTTGAGGTGGAGAAGGAATGTATGGTAATTTCGTAGGTGTTCCTACAAGTATGAATGAGGTGATTAAAACTGTTCAGAGCTTTGAAAGAATCTATAACTCGCTTGCGGACGATGTTAGAGCAAACTTCTCCGATTTTGGCGATTTTATTGGAAGTATTAGTTCTCTTGACGCTGATAGTATTAAGAATATAGAAGCAAAAGGGATACTCCCGGCACTGAATCTGTTCAGTCCAAGTGATGTTTTAGAATGTACGAAGTTATTACATTAGACGTTGTAGTCCTCGCCGTTATAATATGGGACTATCATATTTTGTAGTTCTGACCGACATAGGCACAGACACTGAAAGGAGTGATTTATATACCTTACAATAGCGTAACTTACAGACCCTCACAGGCAGATATAGACACTAACCGTTCACAGTTTAAGATGAACCATAGTCATAAATTCAGTGGTAAAGTTGGTGATCTTATCCCGTTTCTTTGCCAGGAAATAATCCCTGGTGATACTGTTAAACTCAATACCTCTAAAGTTTCTTCGATTTACACCATTTATTAACCTATTATGGATAATGCTTGGCTTGACACTTATTACTTTTTCGTTCCTAACCGTCTCGTTTGGGATCATTGACTAATTTTATGGTTGAGAGCGAAGTAGCATGGATGCCTCAGACAACCTATACTATCCCACAGATTAACATACCTACAGATAATGTAGCAAAAGATGGCATAGGATTTGATATTAACTCAGTAGCAGACTACCTTGGGATCCCCCCCACTGTATGTAGTGATTATACCGAAGGTGCAACCCCGTGCCACGTCAATGCTCTTCCTTTTAGAGCTTATGCAAAACTTTGTGAAGACTGGTTTAGAGCAGAACAGCTTACAGACCCTCTTGTTATCTATACTGGCGATAATACAGTAAACGGACAGAAGATAGCAGATTCCGACCCCTACGGTAGAGATTGTTACCTTGGTGGACAGCCCTTTATAGTATGCAAGAATAGCGATTATTTTACAGCCTGTCTTCCCGCCCCTCAGAGCGGACCTAATGTCCTTATCCCTACCAGATGGCCTCGCTCCCGTATTACCCACAGATACCGATTATTTTACAGCCTACAGTGATTAGTTTGTTGGAGCTTCTACCATTGCCCATCAGAGTTACGTTGGTACTTCTGGAACACGTACACTTAGTACCTCTACCTCAGATACTAACAGCCGCGTAGCCGCAAAGCTCAGTAATGCAGATACTGACAGAGACATAGTCCCTTACTAACCTTGCCGCCGACCTCGACGGTGCCGGAATTGAGTATAGCTAAGCTTCGACCGCATTTCAGATTCAGCGATTTTATGAGAAGTGTGCCCGTGGTGGTAGACGTTACATAGAGCAGATTAAGAGTCATTTCAACGTAATAGTCCCGATGCCCGTATGCAAAGGAGTGAATACCTTGGCGGTTCCCGAATTCCTATACATATTAGTGAGATTGTTTGTAGCGACAGTAGTGATATTGGTAAGCTTGGTAGCACAAGCCGTACAATGGATACTGACAGTGGCTTCGTTAAGAGTTTCACAGAACACGGCTATTTGCTTGGGCGTGTGTTGTGTGCGCTACGACCATAGTTATTCCGAAGCGTTACCTAAGCATTTTATTAAAAGTCTATGTTTGATTACTATTTCCCTGTTTTTGCTAACATCTCTGAACAGCCTGTATATAGTGTAGAAGCATATGCACCTGTTGCAGACGTAAGTCTCGTTCCCGACCTTACTCGTGATGATCTTTCTAAATTTTTGGTATTTGGATACAATGAAGCATGGGCAGATTACCGCCACGCTATCAATCACGTGTCAGGACACCTTAGACCTAATGTACCGCATGGACTTGGTTCTTGGAGCTTCGCAGACAACTATAATACAGCCCCGCCTGTGCTTTCTGAAGCATGGCTGTGTGAAGACCCTGCCAATGTAGACGATTGTCTTACCGTCTCCGTAGATACCGCTGGTTTCCAGTTTTGGGCAGACTTTTACATGGATGAAAACTATTACTCGTTGTATGCCGATGCATTCAATCCCAGGACTTGTAGACCACAACTAATTCCCTTTTTGGTAAAAATTAATAGATAAAGCGAATGCGGCCAGTGATTTCTATTCGAAGTTACTGGCCACGTTCAGAAAGGAGTAAAATAGATGTCAGAACAAGACTTTAACTTTAGTAATGAGAGTTATTTCGGAGATATACCCTCGATGACACCAATGAGTGCCTTGAGCAGATGCGATTTCAAGAATATATGAGTAACACCGCTCACCAGCGTGAAGTAGCAGACCTTAAAGCCGCAGGTCTTAACCCTGTTCTTAGTGCCAATACAAGCGGAGCGTCTTCGCCTAATGGTTGCTAATGATAATATGTTAGACGGCTTAATTTCAGCCGCCAGCGTAGGCGGAGCTTCAGGTTATACCTCTACGGATACAGGTAATTGGTTTCAAATATCATGCAAGCACTTGGTTTTAAGCCCTCTCAGGCAAAGGCTACAGGTAATCTCATTAACGGTGTAGCCGATTACGTACGAGGAGAAACAGGAGGAACAGAATATTCTTATGGGCTGCTAATAAGTTGACCGACGGTCTTAAATCTTAGGTTCTCGTTTCACGGATAGTGTAGGACTCTCGAAACTTTTGTTTGGTAGAGGAGACGAAGAATTGGAGCAGGAACAGGAGCAGGAACTGCTGGATTACAGGAACTCGCCGCCAGCCTTGGATTCTCAGGTGATGAGAACAGTGCCTATAAGATTAACACATGGCAGAGCAGTGATCCTAATGAACATGTAGGAGATGTTGTATTACAGGACACCCGACAGAGCATAGCAGATGGTCTTAGAAACTTTTTGAAAATCGGACAGCATGAAGATGCCGCCAATGCCAATGGCATTGTTGGTGAATTTCTCAGATGGATTGAAGACGATGATAATTGACTATAAAAGTGATACCAACATCTTACGGAACTAACAGTGGACAGACTGTTAGTTCAGGTAGTTATTACGAGAAAACAGGAACAAGCGGACCTTCCGTGACTGTGAAAAATCAGAGTATAGCTGACCAGTACTTAATGTGAGCGCAATTTGCGCGTGTGCGTATGAAATTCTATTTCCATGCGCGCGGCGTGAAATAAGCGAACGAAAGCATTGGTCAGCAAAAGAGCCGCCGCAATACCTAGGCGGCTCCTTTGCTTTGAGCGACAGCGAAAAGCAGACCCGTCCTTACTACATACTTGACTTTAGTAAGGACGAATGACACCCCCCCCCGACTTACTACCCGAGAGCGTAGCGGTTCGGGCTTAATATCCCGACTGAAAGGAGGTATTGATTTATTTCTTACAAGCGTTATAATTATATTGCTCAAGCTAAATACTTAATTGAAAGGAGTTTCATAGATGGCTTGTTTTCACCCTATGATTGGATACAAAGGTGGTATAAACCCCGAAACAGGTAAAACAGAATACACGTTTATGCTTGGAATGATAAAATGGCAGAGGAATTGAAGAATAATTCAGATTACTTTCCTCTGCCTTGTGGTAAATGTGTAGGCTGTAGACAGGATTACGCAAGAAAATGGGACAGGACCGCATGATTATGGAAATGGAAGATACAGAGCATGCATGGTTTGTTACTCTTACGTATGATAATGATTATGTGCCTAAAGTACCGTACTTGACGAAAAAACCGGAGAGATTTAATCATGGACTCTTACTACAAGAATGGACGATGCATCTAAGTTTATGAAGCATGTTAGAAAAAGATTCCCTGCTACTCACGATTAAGCCCGTACACTATGAAAGAGCTGCTATAGATTCAGATTATCCGATTCCTGGTATTAGATTCTTTGTAGCTTCAGAGTATGGTAGTAAGACCCTCCGTCCACATATGCACCTGATTATTTTTAATCTTAAACTCGACGAAGAACAGCTAGTATTTCTTAAGAAGGATAATAAAGGAACATATTATTACGATTGTCCCGAATTAAAAAAATGTCTGGAGTAATTATGTAGGACAGGATAAACACGGTAAACCTATATTCGACCCTATAGGTAATATAATGCATACTCCTGTGAATAAAAATACGATTAACTACGATGCACAGTATACCAATAAAAAAGCATCACAGGACTTAGCAAAGTACGTAGAAGAATTTCACCTTGAACCACCGAAAACACGTTGTTTCTAGAAAACCAGGTCTTGGTTGGTATTGGTATTATAAGCATATAGACGAAGTTAAGGATTATACAGGATTCTTTGTAGGTACAGAAGATGGCTCTCGTGAGATTAATTTCCCCGATTATTTTTATAGATTACTCTCTAAAACCGATGAGGATTTCGTAGAACGCAAGAAAGCAGATAAGGCTATAGTTGGTAGCCTAGCATTCAAACGTATCACAGAAAGCATACAGAAGCCTTACAGCGAATATATGAGAGATAAGGGAACTTAATTTAAGAGATGCCCTTAAACGTAAACAGGCTACTTTTACAAGAGACAAAATATAGCTTGACAAATAGTACCAAATGTGCTATATAATACTCAAGGACGATAGTATTTTTCCAAATATAACATATGAAAGGAGGACTCTATACATCTTCCGTCCTTATCATAAATGCATGAAAGGAGTGATACCCCATAAACAAAATCTACAGACCGTAGTGTATTCAAAAGAACAGCACTAAAAAACCCGAGAGATTAACACAGGTGTCTACATTAAACGAGGAGGAATACATTTCTAATGACACAACATGTATATGCAGTTAAAGACAATCTTAATGGATTTATTTCACTTACTCTGGATGACAATGACCAGACAGCAGTCAGGAATTTTGCCTTCGCAATTCTCAATCCCGACTCCATTATGGGATTTAAGCCCGATGACTTTGATTTGTACCACATGGGAACGTTGATTTAGAGACAGGATGTTTTACACAAGATAAAATGCCCTCCCTCGTAGTCAGAGGTTCTAACATTGCCAGTGCTTATGCAAGAAAGGACAACGATGAGTAAAAAGTATAATAAGAAACAAAAAATTTGTGTTAACTGTTATTGGTACGACCCCCGTTATCGTGATGGTTGGTGCAATTATAACTCTATAGAGTGTGAAAAAACCGACTATTGTGATTGTTACGATTTTAAGATATGAAAAGGAGTGATTCAATACGTATTGTAAAGAATGTAAGTATTACATAGCCGATAAATATTATTGCAAGATGCATAATAAAGAAGACATAAAGCCCGATATGCAAGCTTGTGGTGAATTTGTAGCTATTAAACCCGAATGGAAACCTAGACAGTCACGTGCAGGTATATCCTTGGAAAATTCGTTATTCATATGCAATTACTGATAAAGGTATAGAGGTAGTAGCCGCAGGTAAGATTAATCTACAGGACTATATACAGAGCTTCGCAGATAGTGTAAATATAAACTCCATTATAGCCCGTTATAAAGCCGGTGATCTTAATGCTTTAGTTGAAGGTGGAGAAGGAATGTATGGTAATTTCGTAGGTGTTCCTACAAGTATGAATGAGGTGATTAAAAACTGTTCAGAGCTTTGAAAGAATCTATAACTCGCTTGCGGACGATGTTAGAGCTAACTTCTCCGATTTTGGCGATTTTTATTGGAAGTATTAGTTCTCTTGACGCTGATAGTATTAAGAATATTAGAAGCAAAAGGGATACTCCCGGCACTGAATCTGTTCAGTCCAAGTGATGTTTTAGAATGTACGAAGTTATTACATTAGACGTTGTAGTCCTCGCCGTTATAATATGGACTATCATATTTTGTAGTTCTGACCGACATAGGCACAGACACTGAAAGGAGTGATTTATATACCTTACAATAGCGTAACTTACAGACCCTCACAGGCAGATATAGACACTAACCGTTCACAGTTTTAAGATGAACCATAGTCATAAAATTCAGTGGTAAAGTTGGTGATCTTATCCCGTTTCTTTGCCAGGAAATAATCCCTGGTGATACTGTTAAACTCAATACCTCTAAAGTTCTTCGATTTACACCATTTATTAACCCTATTATGGATAATGCTTGGCTTGACACTTATACTTTTTCGTTCCTAACCGTCTCGTTTGGGATCATTGGACTAATTTTATGGGTGAGAGCGAAGTAGCATGGATGCCTCAGACAACCTATACTATCCCACAGATTAACATACCTACAGATAAAGTAGCAAAAGATGGCATAGGATTTGATATTAACTCAGTAGCAGACTACCTTGGGATCCCCCCACTGTATGTAGTGATTATACCGAAGGTGCAACCCCGTGCCACGTCTATGATCTTCCTCTTTTAGAGCTTATGCAAAACTTTGTGAAGACTGGTTTAGAGCAGAACAGCTTACAGACCCTCTTGTTATCTATACTGGCGATAATACAGTAAACGACAGGAAGATAGCAGGATGTCCGACCCCTACGGTAGAGTTTGTTACCTTGGTGGGACAGCCCTTTATAGTATGCAAGAATAGCGATTATTTTACAGCCTGTCTTCCCGCCCCTCAGAGCGGACCTAATGTCATATCCCTACAGATGGCCTCGCTCCCGTATTACCCACAGATACCGATTTATTTACAGCCTACAGTGATTATTTTGTTGGAGCTTCTACCAATTGCCCATCAGAGTTACGGTTGGTACTTCTGGAACACGTACACTTAGTACCTCTACCTCAGATACTAACACGCCGTAGCCGCAAAGCTCAGTAATGCAGATACTGACAGAGACATAGTCCTTACTAACCTTGCCGCCGACCTCGACGGTGCCGGGAATTGAGTATAGCTAAGCTTCGTACCGCAATTTCAGATTCAGCGATTTTTGAGAAGTGTGCCCGTGGTGGTATAGACGTTACATAGAGCAGATTTAGAGTCATTTCAACGTTAATAGTCCCGATTGCCCGTATGCAAAGGAGTGAATACCTTGGCGGTTCCCGAATTCCTATACATATTAGTGAGATTGTTTGTAGCGACAGTAGTGATATTGGTAAGCTTGGTAGCACAAGCCGTACAATGGATACTGACAGTGGCTTCGTTAGAGTTTCACAGAACACGGCTATTTGCTTGGCGGTGTGTTGTGTGCGCTACGACCATAGTTATTCCGAAGCGTTACCTAAGCAATTTATTAAAAAGTCTATGTTTGATTACTATTTCCCTGTTTTTGCAAACAAGCATATGCACCTGTTGCAGACGTAAGTCTCGTTCCCGACCTTACTCGTGATGATCTTTCTAAATTTTTGGTATTTGGATACAATGAAGCATGGGCAGATTACCGCCACGCTATCAATCACGTGTCAGGACACCTTAGACCTAATGTACCGCATGGACTTGGTTCTTGGAGCTTCGCAGACAACTATAATACAGCCCCGCCTGTGCTTTCTGAAGCATGGCTGTGTGAAGACCCTGCCAATGTAGACGATTGTCTTACCGTCTCCGTAGATACCGCTGGTTTCCAGTTTTGGGCAGACTTTTACATGGATGAAACTATTACTCGTTGTATGCCGATGCATTCAATCCCAGGACTTGTAGACCACAACTAATTCCCTTTTTGGTAAAAATTAATAGATAAAGCGAATGCGGCCAGTGATTTCTATTCGAAGTTACTGGCCACGTTCAGAAAGGAGTAAAATAGATGTCAGAACAAGACTTTAACTTTAGTAATGAGAGTTATTTCGGAGATATACCCTCGATGACACCAATGAGTGCCCTTGAGCAGATGCGATTTCAAGAATATATGAGTAACACCGCTCACCAGCGTGAAGTAGCAGACCTTAAAGCCGCAGGTCTTAACCCTGTTCTTAGTGCCAATACAAGCGGAGCGTCTTCGCCTAATGGTGCTAATGATAATATGTTAGACGGCTTAATTTCAGCCGCCAGCGTAGGCGGAGCTTCAGGTTATACCTCTACGGATACAGGTAATTGGGTTTCAAATATCATGCAAGCACTTGGTTTTAAGCCCTCTCAGGCAAAGGCTACAGGTAATCTCATTAACGGTGTAGCCGATTACGTACGAGGAGAAACAGGAGAACAGAATATTCTTAATTGGGCTGCTAATAAGTTGACCGACGGTCTTAAATCTTTAGGTTCTCGTTTCACGGATAGTGTAGGACTCTCGAAACTTTTGTTTGGTAGAGGAGACAGAATTGGAACAGGAACAGGAGCAGGAACAGCTGGATTACAGGAACTCGCCGCCAGCCTTGGATTCTCAGGTGATGAGAACAGTGCCTATAAGATTAACACATGGCAGAGCAGTGATCCTAATGATCATGTAGGAGATGTTGTATTACAGGACACCCGACAGAGCATAGCAGATGGTCTTAGAAACTTTTTGAAAATCGGACAGCATGAAGATGCCGCCAATGCCAATGGCATTGTTGGTGAATTTCTCAGATGGATTGAAGACGATGATAATTGGACTATAAAAGTGATACCAACATCTTACGGAACTAACAGTGGACAGACTGTTAGTTCAGGTAGTTATTACGAGAAAACAGGAACAAGCGGACCTTCCGTGACTGTGAAAAATCAGAGTATAGCTGACCAGTACTTAATGTGAGCGCAATTTGCGCGTGTGCGTATGAAATTCTATTTCCATGCGCGCGGCGTGAAATAAGCGAACGAAAGCATTGGTCAGCAAAAGAGCCGCCGCAATACCTAGGCGGCTCTTTGCTTTGAGCGACAGCGAAAAGCAGACCCGTCCTTACTACATACTTGACTTTAGTAAGGACGAATGACACCCCCCCCGACTTACTACCCGAGAGCGTAGCGGTTCGGCTTAATATCCCGACTGAAAGGAGGTATTGATTTATTTCTTACAAGCGTTATAATTATATTGCTCAAGCTAAATACTTAATTGAAAGGAGTTTCATAGATGGCTTGTTTTCACCCTATGATTGGATACAAAGGTGGTATAAACCCCGAAACAGGTAAAAACAGAATACACGTTTATGCTTGGAATGATAAAATGGCAGAGGAATTGAAGAATAATTCAGATTACTTTCCTCTGCCTTGTGGTAAATGTGTAGGCTGTAGACAGGATTACGCAAGAAAATGGACAGACCGCATGATTATGGAAATGGAAGATACAGAGCATGCATGGTTTGTTACTCTTACGTATAGTACTCTGCGTTGATACCACTGCTT